GAAAAATATTGCTTTTCAAGAATTCTACACTATTTCTACGAAAAGTTGTTTTTTCCCCATATAAAATACATTGAAAACTTTGAGCGCTTTGAGCACACCCTAATTTGTTATTTTCTTTCAAAATAAAAAAATAGGGGTATATTTTTTTGGCATAGAACAATCCTAGGGGCTGGCGGCTTTAAAAATGCGACCTTATTTTTTTTACATACATTTTTGGACCACTTTAATGTACATGGATAGGCCAAATTTCAAATAGTGGTCTGATAAAACCTAAACCAGTATTCCTTGTTGACATAAAGAAACTGAAGGTAATTTTTAATAAATTTAATGGAAACGAAATTTCGAATACCAAAAATTTAATAGCTAAATTATTGAAGTTAAGTTCTGATGTAAATTTAGAAGAATCAAACTTTTTTTAATGTCTAATATACTTTAGAATTAAGTATTTGAATAAAAAAATAAATGCTCAAAACCATTGGGATAGTGCAGGCAAGAAAATTTTCAAAACGATTTTATAAATGAGTGTGTTTCATTTAGTATATAATTTTGTGTAAGTATGTATTTCCACATTTACATTAAACAGAAAATTCAATAAATAAAATGAAGCTGATTCTAATGAGATTTTAAATATTTTCATATTTACAAAAAACTTTCATTTCAAAGATGTTGAGTTCTATCAAATGTGGTAAATGCATAACAGAGGGTTAATTTCTTTGTTTACATTTTTTGACATTACAGTCAGGTATGAGAGAGCTCGACTGAATTGTCACTTCTACCATGTTGAATATGCCTTGAAGTGCACCAGTTCAGAGAAAATCAGCGTTATTATTTTCCCCGAACGGTTAACTTTTCACTTTACGCTTTCGTGTATTCACTATAGGCGGATGAACAATTTTCGGGTGAATTTTTTTTTTCGGGCGAAACTCAGGATAAAGAGCGAAATACACCACACAAGCGGCTTGTCAAACATTCTTCAANGTTTTCGGGCGAAACTCAGGATAAGGATGAATAGATGATTCAATAATACAAGGTTAGATAATTATTGACAGCTGCGGTTTGACACTCCCTTACAAAAGGTTGCATTTACGAAGGACAGAGAAAGGGCAAGAATGCAATCCCTTGTTTCGAAAATGGTAGTAGAAAAGTACGCAAAGTAGGCAATTAGTAGTGAAATTCCTTTCGTAAATTCTAATGTATTTGCAGGAAATCTGGCATTTTAAACGAAATGTTGAACGTAATATTGATATATCTACGTGAATTACGTAATTTATATGCTATTTAGCCGTATAAAAACTGCAAAATGACTCAAAATTAAAATAAGACTACTATGAGATTGATGTAAACGTCCATTGCTTATGTTTTCATCAGTTAAATATGCTTCATATGCATATCTACATAAACATATTGCACAAAAGCTTTTACTTTTATTTCACACCAAAGCTACACTGTTTCCATGTAAATTTGCAAAGAAGCAACACGGTGCCACAGCTAAGGGAGCGGTGCGAGAGAGACAACTGTCAGTTTATCGAACCTTGTATTATTGAATCATTATTATTATGTATTATTGAATCATGGGCTGAATATATTTGGAAACGGCAATTCATCCAATTAAATGAAATGCGACATAATAAAATTATATACATAAAATAATTTTAAATAAATGTAGTAACGAAACATAACATACTTGGAGGAATAACGTTTGGGAATAGTTTCCCCTGCCATTGAATTTAGAACTAAAAAAAAACACGAGCTTTTACCCCCGGTTTGTGTTAACCGGACATTGAACAAACGGCCCTAATTTGCCGCTGGCTCAACTCTCGGTTAAAAAATTCTATCCGAAGTTTTGGATCGCATGTAAGATAAAATTTCCAAAACTTGGGTTAAGTTTCAAATGTCGGAAGATGAAGCAATGAAGTGCAAAAGAGATTTTTATGAACGAACTGGTTTTCCTGGAGTCATTGGGTTTGTAGACGAGTTTCTTTCTTGTAGCAAAGGTTTCTTTAAATGCAATAATTGCTAAATTTGTACTCTTTTTTATACATAGATCTATAATCATAAGATGCGTGCATATAAGATGTGTAGGTGCCAGACATCTTAGCTCTGGTCATGACTGCTTAATTTGGAATACCAGCCGAGTAAAGTTTCTAAAATAAAAATATGAAATAACAAATTAAATAAAATTTGCTTTTCACTTAAGACCTCTATGTCGAACATATCGATGTTTATGAAGGATGCACTGATGTTTTCAACAAATTATTGTTAAGTCTAATTTTTAGCATAATAATAACCAGAACACAAAAACAATTATTTATATATATTTTATCTGCTGGAGTATTGTTGCCTCAGCCTCTAAAAACAACCGTATTGGCAAGTAGAGCATAGCGATTTTGTATAAGCACGGAAACGGTGAACACATGTTTGTGGTTTCCAAATGTCGCGTCCCATGCTATTTTCCATCTCAGATTCGTCAGATGATTGATTTCTATTAACCGAAACATACCAGGATAGATATGAATTGCTAAAGATAAATAGTGAAAATGCATAGCCACTTACCTTTGCCTGTGAAAAACATGCATAATTTTTGTAGAGTAGAATCAATCAATGATGCAAATGGCATACAGATAGCGGTGGCTTAAACCAACTACGGCCACCAATCTGTGGTTTGGAGAAATGTAAAGGCCGGTGCAAACCTCCAAGCAATGTACATACATTGGCAGATGCATAACGGGGTGTTTACATGATTTCACAGGCGATTAGTTTAAATAAAAATTGGGTGCTGACCAACTTCATTTAACGGGATTAGCTGGAAAGCCGTTAACACAAGGCGATTGGTGCTTTCAACTAAAAGTTGCCTGGTAAAATCGCCTCATACAGACAACCAGTAAGTTTCATCAGTGAACGATGTATCGTTCTTTTTGGGGTCTGAACATCGATGTTAAACTATGGATGTTTATGAACGATATATCGATGTTTGGAAACATCGATATTGAAATTGCATCCTTACTTTAAAGATACCCCTCAATGGATTCCAAATGGCCGCATTGTTGCAGTGGCTTTTGAATTTGTAGACCGAGCCCTTGTTGAAACCGTTGGAGTATCATCTTCGACGTTTTCTATTTCGGAGGAGATAATGGCTACATTTGGTATTATGTCCGAACTCGTATAAGGCTTTTCATAGTCGATTAGAAGTGCCTCAATTTCATCTGCTTCAGCGAATCCCAACTCATTGCCTTTTGGGTTTATTTTACACGCAAAATATTAATATATTCGCAAAACTATGGATAAATTATAGTAATATAGTGCGTACTTAGTTTATCTCTCTGACGTCAGGGTATTTTTTAAAAGGACTTCGAAATTTAAAAAATATGACTATTTCGAAAAAATTATTTAATTAATTTAGGACAATGTAGGATAAAAATAAAGGTATCATATAAAAGAAAAAATTCGGTAGAATTATAACAGAATACACTTTTTGCTGCTATATGATAGTTTAGCGACGCAATAAAAAATCCGCCCGTTAGCCCGTTAGCAACCAATTGCAATTTCGAGACGCATTTATCGAAGGCCTTGCGAAATCAATTTTTGGGTTGAGTTGTTTACTTTTTTTCAGCTTCATTTAAGTTATTGCCGCTCTGCATATCCTTAAGCTGAAATTAGTCAAGAACGTAAACCTACCGGTACGTAAACCCGAGTCAGCTGACACGATCTGTCTTACCAAAGCGCCATGTAAATGAAAACTCAACACCGCAGAATTTTTCTGTAGTTGTAGCCCGTAGCGCAGAAATCTGCGGAATTTAGTTTTTCCGTGTCAGCTGATTTCTCCTTCTTTAGATGGTTGCCACTTCGTCAGTTTTGCAGATGGTAAAAAAGTTATAAGTTCCTATTCGAAATATGTTTAAAATATTTGAAATTTACTATTAAATAAGGTTTTTGTTGAAAACTAAGTAGTTTATATTTAGTTACAATCTATTATAGCACGAAAAATTGTGGTTGAAAGGGTAAGTTTATGAAAAGGCATTGAAGAGTGGCGACACTGTAGTAAGCAACACTGAGGGCTCCAGTAATCGACAAAATTCTGCGTATACAGACTGCGTTTAAGTATACGTTCTGCGTTCTCGACTAATTTCAGCTTTATTATCCGATTCAACTAGAAACTTTGTTGTTGTAGTGTCAGTACTAAGTTTTTTATCAATATTTATTTCGTGTTCGATATCATTTGATGCAGATGTTTCATCATCATCCATAAAATGTTCATTCCATTCTGGTGATACTTTTATATACTCTACGTGATCCTTGTAAACAAATAGAAAATAATTATTGTTTAATTATATCTAAATCGTATTTGATATACCATATCTACAGTATCTGGCATCTTAGTTACTTCCATTAGCTCTTCATGTACTGGAACCCATTCAAAAGTGTTGGCTATACTTTCTATCTTCACTTTTTCCGTTTGTGTGCAACGTAATTCATTATCAGCCCTTCTCGCCTTTTCAATAAAATCATAAACGTCTTTAAGTTTTTGGGCACAATCAAGGCATAGATATTGCATCCGGGCATCATCGAGTTCATTTGGATCATCTTTCAAACTTAAATTAATTTGTGTACATTTACAAAAACACTCTTTGTATGATATATCCAAAGAGTCAACAGGCTGATACCAATCTAGCAGATGCACCCGATCTTCCGGCGACAAACAGGCACGGCATATATTTGATAAATCCATCTGAACTTTTCACCACTGCCGTATTGATAATTCAAGTCTTAGTCGGTAAAAAATAGTTTTGTAGAATGTGTGATTATATATTGGTAAGACAGAACAATTTGAAAATAAGGATGTCGAAAATATTTCGATATAAAAAATGGTACAATTTTAATGCTTTTAAAAGTCGACTGTCCGACAAATAGATTTCTTCGGTAGATATAGTGATGTTCCGATATCAGTGAAAACTATCTCCTGAAATTGAATCAAAATAAATTAAAATGTACTTTAATAAATTTAAGGAAAAATATTGTTATAAACTTACAAACTGGTCATAGGCAAAAGATTGTTTACTTTTTACCGCTCTTCTTCTGCCATTGTTTACTATTCACGGTGCATTATCAAACGTCAAAATTACTGGCCTACTACTATTTCAAGCAGAAGAAAGAACACGAACATTTTCTTGTGCATTTTCTTAAGAGCTGGATACTAAAGCCCTGTATGCAGCTCTCAAGAAAACGGTCAAGAAAAAATTGCCATTATTTCGTGTGTGTGTCCAAGGAATTTTGACATTTTTGATACTTCACAGCCTGTTGCCTCACTCTTTCCTCAAGAAATAATGGAACGGGCAT